TTCACCATGTTGGCCAGGCTGGTCTTGAACTCCTCACCTCAGGTGGTTCACCAGCCTTGGCCACTCTAAGTGCTGGGATTACAGGCATGAACCACTGCGCCAGGTTTGTTTTTCTTTTTTTTTTCAACCCTGAGCTCCCACACTGCACTGCCATCTGTGGGCACACCAGGGCCAAGGAGTGAGTTAATTTTCTTGACCCTAAATTTGAACTGAGTAGAGACAATCATTAAATTTCAGGCTGTGCTCTGCCCACTGCATTCTGGGAGACCTCTGGGTAGTCAGGAGACAGGTGAATTCTTGAAGCAGGCAGTGTTTTCACGCATTCTAGGACTTCATGTGAACAGAAAAACGAAGCAAGTATGGAATAGAATCCAGAACATGTCTCCCCCATTCATTCACGTGTGTGTGTGTGCGCGCGCGTGCGTGTGTGTGTGCGTGCGTGTGTGTGTGCGCATACGTGTGTGCGCGCGCGTGTGTGCGTGCGTGTGTGTGTGTGTGAATTCAGATGCATCCACACATGCAAACACCCACACACCAACCCACAGGTTCATGCCTCATAACACAGTGCACACCTACGTGGAAAATGCTTCTCCACAAGGGCTCTACTTCTTAGTGGGCAGATTCTCCCAGAAAACCATATTGTGGTTCACAAGGTACCTTACTGATCATTGAGAGCTGGAGTGGTTGTGTTTTTTTTAGCTTTTTACTTCATTTTCCCAGACCCATCCCCTCCAAGTCACCCCTGACCAAAAATTATCACTGGTCTCTCTATAAATTAGCAATCTGTGCCTCTGTTCTATGCCACAGATTAGAAGAAGTAAGATGGGGCTGGGTGCAGGGCTCACGCCTGTAATCCCAGCACTTTAGGAGGCTGAGGCAGATGCATCATTTGAGGTCAGGAGTTCAAGACCAGCCTGGCCAACATGGTGAAACCTTGTCTCTACTAAAAATGTAAAAAAATTAGCAAGGTGTGGTGGGAGGCACCTGTGATCCCAGCTACTCAGGAAGCTTAGGCAGGAGAACTGCTTGAACCCGGGAGGCACAGGTTGCAGTGAGCCAAGATCATGCCATGGCACTCCATCCTGGGTGACAGAATGAGACTCTTTCTCAAAAAAAAAAAAACAAAAGAAGTAAGACAGGATCACACAGGTCCACCTGAAAAGGTCACAGCTCCTGTTCTTACACCACCAACAACAACATCACGCCCAGCCTCCAGCAGAAAATTTGGATTCACAATCCATTCCTTGACTCAGTTGTTCCTTCCATGGCTCCATCCACTCACCTTGATAGCTCCAACCACTGCTGTCGTCAGGGCTGAATTGTAATAACTGCACAGAACCGTGGAGTACATCAGTAGAAACCTGCAGCAAGGAAGCAGACACCAGGGTGCACACCTCACTACGCTGGGTCATAATAAATACTTACGGTCAGCACTGACCCCCACATGAGCACTTTAAGCAAAAAAAAAAAAAAGAAACATATATCATAAAGGCTCTGTAACCCACACCTTAAGATACCTTGCTATTGGTCTTATGACAGGAAAATAGTCCAGCTGTGAATTAGCTACACCTTCTATGTAAGGTATCCTTCTCATTCTGTACACTTCCCATGAATGTTTCCACAACATGAGGGTAAGGAGAACAAGGTTTGTTTAATGACCTGAAATCTCTGGTTTCACAGCATGTTAAATAAAGTTGAGGACTGGGGTTTTTAATCCTCCGTGTGTCTGAGTCACCTGCTGCACTTTCAGTACACAGCGATGCCTGGGCAGAGGCTCTGCTTCACATGGTTTGAGGTAGGGCCCTGACCGCGCACGACACGAAAGGTCCTCAGGTGGTTCTGACCTGCTGCCAGAGTGGCGACGGAAGAGAAAATCTGCTGAGCGATTGCTGCCTTCGGACAGGGGAGATTGAAATAGAAATAGATTCCACGTGATAATGTGGAATATAATGTGAAACAGATAATGCTCCCGTATCTGTTACCGAAGTTAACTCAGGCACTTAACGTGACAGTAGGTATTGATACTTACTTGCCAATAAAATCACTATAGCAGGGCCGGGCGCAGTGGCTCACGCCTGTAATCCCAGCACTTTGGGAGGCCGAGGCGGGTGGATCACAAGGTCAAGAGATCGAGACCATCCTGGTCAACACAGTGAAACCCCGTCTCTACTAAAAATACAAAACATTAGCTGGGCATGGTGGCGCGTGCCAGGAGGCGGGGGTTGCGGTGAGCCGAGATCGCGCCATTGCACTCCAGCCTGGGTAACAAGAGCGAAACTCCATCTCAAAAAAAAATGACTATAGCCTGAGAACATGCACCAGTCCAGAAAACACATACACAGGAAAAGAATGCCTAATCCAATCAGGTAAAGTGAGCTAATTCCAGTTAAGTAGTGATGGACATTAGCTGCAACCTCACCTAAGCTGCAGCTCAGATCCAATGATGAAAGGGATTACAAACCAGCTGAGAAGGAAAGATGGAATGTACAGGGAGAGCACAAGATGGGTGAGATTAGAAAGCTAAATCCCAGCTCAGGTTGGGCCGGTGGCTCATGCCTGTAATCCCAGCACTTTAGAAGGCAGAGGTGGGTGAATCACCTGAGGTCAGGAGTTCAAGACCAGCCTGACCAACAAGGAGAAACCTTGTTTCTACTAAAAATACAAAAATTAGCCGGGTGTGGTGGCACACCTCTAACCTCAGCTACTCAGGAGGATGGGGCAGGAGAATCGCTTGAACCTGGGAGGCGGAGGCTGCAGTGAGCTGAGATTGTGTCACTGCACTCCAGCCTAGGCAACAGAGCGAGACTCAGTCTCACTCACTCAATCAATCAATCAATCCCAGGTCAAAGGCAGGAGTTTGGATCCCCCATTGACAGAGAGAAGTGAACGCAACTCTAGGAAAGGGCTCAGTGCACCTGCACTTGGGTAAGCACAGAATTTATTAAATTCTAGAATCCTGCTAGAATGTAACACCCAGTCTTGGCCCTAGGCTCAAATCTCTGGTGGAGATCAGAGTCACGAACCTTCAACACAGTAACCTCTGTTGGCCTGAGTGTGCTTATTACCAGAGGAGGCAGAGGGAAAAATTAGAATATCCAGCTTTACAGGTTGAAGAATAAACTTAATTTCAAACTTAAATGTTGTCATCTTTGAAATACTATGTGCCTTAGTTATTAAGGTAATTAAAGCAAGTGGTCCTAATTTGAAATATGTAATTGATATTAGTCATTTGAAAGAAGAGCATCAAAGTCCATCCAGGATTTGAATGTTTTTAAGAAGCTGATTTACCCCATTTCCAAATTTGGTTTATTAGATTTCAAAGAGTTGTTTAAGTACAGAAAGCAATCTACTACCTTTGCTAGTTGGCCTCGGGGGTTGGAAATGCTGAAGAAAAGATAGGCAGCTCCCATTTGTTAAAGCAGTTGAAAATGCTTAAATTCTTTCAATTCACTGAGTTGCAAATGAAACTGATTTACAGTACATTGTTTAGGGATTTTAATCAGTTAAACTTGAGTTAATAAACCATTTATCAAATAATGAAAGTAAAGGTTATTTTATAGAAAAATTGTTAGCTTTGGCTGGGCGGGTGCATTGGCTCACACCTGTAATGTCAGCACTTTGGGAGGCCAAGGTGGGCTGATCACCTGAGGTCGAGAGTTCAAGACCAGCCTGACCAACATGGAGAAACCCATCTCCACTAAAAATACAAAAAATTAGCCGGGCGTGGTGGCCCATGCCCGTAATCCCAGCTACTCGGGAGGCTGAGGCAGGAGAATCACTTGAACCTGGGAGGCAGAGGTTCCAGTGACCTCCACCTGGATTGCACCATTGCATTCCAGCTTGGGCAAAAACAGTGAAACTCCACCTTGGGAAAAAAGAAAGAAAGAAAAAGAAAGATATTTGTAAGTTGAACTTTAAGGCTTAAGAAAATCTAAGTTTCTCAAATTATCATAATTTTTAAAAATCCAACATTCATTTAGATTCCCAGGGGTTATAAATAATCCTATTTACACATAAAATGAAAAAAAGTTAAAACTCAAACTGATGCCACTAGGTGCCTGTTCCGCCAGGCCCTGGCCATGGGAGGGACCACCCACAGCGCCTGCCCCGGAGGCGCTCAGACTCCGATCAGAGGCGAGAGCTGCACAGCAGCGAGAGCACAGCGCAGGGCCCAGCCCCACACGGGGCAGAGAGGAGCTTCCTGCAGGCGCCTATGCACCAGTGCAGCCTTAAGCCAAAGACAGCATGGAAGTTTTCTACTTCCACTTTTGCTTTAAAATTCCAACTCAAGGGTTCCAGTCATGCAACATTTTCTCTATCCTACATTTTTTTTTCTTAAAAAAGTGGTGGGGGGAACCTACCTTGACAAGGTCTGGCCGTATTACCCAGGCTGGACTTGAACTCCTGGGTTCAAGCAATCCTGCCAACTGCCTTCCAAGTAGCTAGGACTATAGATGCGTGCCATCACACCCTGCTCCATCTTAAAGAAACCACCTCAGCCTGCATTCAGGATCAGAAGACATCACGGATCTAAGATGCCAGCACCCATCTGTCATGATTGTGGGTGACAAGGACATCACTCACCAGCCAGGCGGAGCCAGGGGATGGAGACCCCTCACTAACATTCTGAAGTGAGCCTCAATGCAGCCATCCTCCTTAGCAACAGATGATGACTAGACAGAAAGACCGCACTTCTTTTTCTCTTTCTTTCTTTCCTTTTTTTAAATTAATTTTTAGGACAAGGTCTCACTCTTTTGCCCAGGCTGGAGTGCAGTGGTGTGATCATGGCTCACTGTAGCCTCCACCTCCCAGGCTCAAGCAATCTTCCCACCTCAGCCTCTCAAGTAGCTGGGACTACAGGTACACATCACTAAACCTGGCTAAATTTTAAATTTTTTTCTAGATACAGACTCTTGCTATCTTACCCAGGCTGGTCTGGAACTCGGGTGCTCAAGCAATCCTCCCTCCCCAGCTTCCCAAAGTGCTGGGATTAGATGCATTAGCCACCACTTCCAGCTTGCACTTCTTAATATACCCACTAGATGTCCCCAGAGAGGCCAAATATAGAACCGCTGGGCTCAAAGTAGTAGCATATTACATTTTTATGCAAACAAATACTTGCACAGTGCTTTGGCCAAAACCAAGACTCTAAACTAAAAGAATGTTCGTTAACTCAGTACAGGGGAAACCACACCACTTTTAACACTGAAAATGTCAACCTCCACATGACTAGCTTTGACTTCACCATCTGTGGATGAATAAAATGTAATTCATAAAATGCAAAGGTATTTAAAATTCTTAGTTACCTTTTTTTCCATCCTACATATTTTTAGATAGGGTCTCACTCTGTCGCTCAGGCTGGAGTGCAGTGGCACAATCACAACTCACTGGGCTCAGATGAGCCAGCCTCCACCTCCTGGGCTCGGCCACCCAAAGTGCTGGCATTACAGGTGTGAGCCACAGAGCTTTTGAAGTCATGCTATCATCTGTGTACATTTGAAACATAACAGCACATCATCTGACGCACATTAATCCAAGCAACATAGGCCAGACGACTGTTCTGCTTCTAGGGCCCCCAGGGTGGAGGTGTCTGAGTAGAAACTGCTGGACCAGAACCTCTGCTCAAAGGCTTCTTCCTGTTCTAAAAACAGCACCAAAAAAACTGACTTACCCAACACTGTGGCAGTCACAAACAGAACTCAAATGACCTAGCTGACACCTCGTTACTGATTATCGTGCCCTGCCTCAACAGATACAGAAACTCAACACAGATGTTCAAATATTCACAGGCTACTTTTACATTCCTTCCACCAACCACCATGGCACCCAAGCACCTCATTCTCTTATAATTCCAGATTTCAAAGAATCCCAAGGAACCTCATCCTCACCATCTCTGGGAAGAACTCACTCCTACCCCAAGAACTCGTGGAGCACCCGAGATGCACCAGGTCATGGGATAAATACGGTACACCTTTCAGAGCATGGGTTTTCCACTGAGATCTGCCTTGTCGGGGGTGGCGGGAACGCGGGTGCTCTTTGCAGTCGTCATTCCGGTGCCCAGCAAGAAGCAACATTTTGTTTTCTCTGGTACAGTGTATCTACAGTCGTACAAGTTGAAGATTTAAAAATTATACTTTCTTTTACTGTGAGTATGGAAAATTTGACTGTTTTCTGTCTCAATTAAGACACATATTACTTCTTCTGTGGGATCAAAGGGACTGCTCCTGCGGCAGGTACAGATTAGGTGACTTCTCTCAGGACCCCCGGGGATTGGTGCCGCCCTGATGGGAATGAAGTGGAACCTGTAATTTCTCAGCAAGGCTAAAAAGGTCTGCAGACCTAACTTTCTTAAAAATCTAGTTTATCAACTTAAATTCCAGTCTATATCTTACCTTTGACTGCATTAAATTATTTTAGCTCCCTGAATCCAGTTGTAATTCCTGAAGCAAATTCACTCCACCACATGTTCCATTTCCAAACCCATGGTTACACACATGACCATTTCCCAGCACTGAGTCCTTCACCATAACACAAAAGCAAGCTAGGCCGGGCGCGGTGGCTCACGCCTGTAATCCCAGCACTTTGGGAGGCTGAGGTGGGCATATCACCTGAGGTCAGGAGTTCAAGGCCAGCCTGGCCAACATGGTGAAACCCCATCTCTACTAAAAATACAAAAATTAGCTGGGCGTGGTGGTGCACACCTATAATCTCAGCTACTCTGGAGGCTGAGGCAGGAGAATTGCTTGAACCCAAGAGGAGGAGGTTGCAGTGAGACAAATCACACCACTGCACTTCAGCCTGAGCAATAGAGTGAGACTCCATCTCAAAAAAAAAAAAAAAAAAACCCAAAAAATTTTTTATTATTTTTAAGGAGCAGAAATTCTACAGGATTGAATAATTTGGCAGGAGAGATTTATGCTTTGTTGCCCAGGCTGGAGTGCAGTGGCTCAATCTTGGCTCACTTCAACCTCTACCTCCCAGGTTCAAGCAATTCTCTTGCCTCAGCCTCCCAAGTAGCTGGGACTACAGGCACATGCCACCACGCCCAGCTGATTTTTTGTATTTTTTTTAGTAGAGATGGGGTTTCACCATGTTTCCCAGGCTGGTTGCGAACTCCTGAGCTCAGGCAATTCACCCACCTTGGCCTCCCAAAGTTCTGGGGTTACAAACATAAGCCACCGCCCCTGGACATATATACTTTGCCCAGGCTGGAGTGCAATGGTGCCATCATAGCTCACTGCAGCCTCAAACTCCTGGGCTAGAGCAATCCTCCTGCCTCACCCTCCTGAGTAGCTGGAACCACAAGAACACGCCACCACATGTGGCTAACTTATTTCTATAGAGATGAGTTCTCATATGCTTGCCAGGCTGGTCTCAAACTCCTGGCTTCAAGTGATGCTCCCACCTCAGCCTCCCAAACAAAGCACTGGGGCTATGGGCATGAGTCACTGTGTCTGGCCTAGATTTCTTACATTTCTCACGTATTATCTTCAAAACCCTCCTGCACTGGTACTTGGAGAGTGGCCGTGGGCTACTGATTTTGTAAGCACAGGCTGTCCATTTGCAAGTTTCGTTATTGCTCAGCCATTGCAATTAAGCAATGTTCTGCTTTTGCGGCACCAGTAAGAACTAGCTTTTAAACTTTTATCTTTCACAGCCCTTTTGTGAGGGAACATTTTCATGGACCTCTTCTCTTGTGTTGTTAGGAATACAGTAAGAAGGAATGACATTTGGCTTCCTCAATAGAGGAATCTATATCAGGGTTCCCCAGAGGAACAGAACAATAGAATACACAGGTATGTGAGAGGGAATTTATCAGGGGAATTGGCTCCCACAATTATGGAGGCTAAAAAGTCCCAAGACAGGCCAGCTGCAAGCTGGACACCCTGAGATGCCGGTAGCGCAGCTTAGACCAAGCTCAAAGGCCTCAGAATGAGGGATGCCTTCAGTGTGACTCTCAGTCCAAGGCCAAAGCCCTCCTGACCACGCGCTGCTGGTGGAAGCCCGAGATTCCCACGGCCAGTGAGCTGGGAGTTCTGATGTCCAAGGCAGCAGAAGAAAGTCTGTCCCAGATTCCAAAGAGGGATGGATTTGCCTTCTGTATTTGATCTCTCTGCACCCATGGCCAATTGGCTGGTGCCTGCCAACCACGAGGGCAGATCCTCCCCACCTGGTCCACTCAGACTCGCGT